ATTCGCGGGGACATGTGGATAGGGGACTCTCGTTAATTTCACCTACTGGAAACGGCTGCTGTGACACGTTCATAGGCACGCTCGCTGCCAGCGGCTGGCGCCCGATCAATTTCGACACACGGCAACTTGTAACGCACAGAACGGTTTGCTGTTTTCAGCCAGGTGTCGTCACGGTCAAAGCGCCTGACTCACAATCGGAAAGGTTGCCAATTCAAATGCCGGTTAGAGGTGAATCCAGTCTATCATCCCTCTGGAATACATTCTACGAGTGCTGTTTTGTGAGGAAGTCGACAGTGGTGAAAGGCTCTCATCTCCTTGAGGCAGTGGTGGAAATTCCACGTTCCTATGACAGGAGATAGTCTCCCCCGTGTAACATTACAAGCACAATTAAAAACAAAACATGAATCTCAGTGGGCTCTCGCAGGTTAAGTGGAGGACCATTAATATTTAATTGCCACACTGTGCAACAGCCATTCTATTTTCAGAGCCAGAAAACCTGGAGACCCCGATGCCATGTGTTGGCACCATTCGTCCGGTCGCATGTGGCCACCCGTGCCCACTCTGAGTTGCTCTCCATCGTGATTGCACCCACGTGCAAGCGAGCTCAGCGACGCAATAAAAAAAAGGTGACCCGCACGCCCGCCACTTGAAAGGCAGCGGAGCCGGGGATGAGTAAGCTCCCCGCTGCATGCAGTCACAGCGCGCGTGATCAATGCCCCACCCACCCTCTCTTTTCAGCCTGCCCTGTTCGCGTAAAGCCCTTAATAAATCTGTCCATTAAAAGAACCATGCGCCCATCACAGTCGCCACTTATTTCTATTCACGGAGGTTCTTTTCACACCGCCCCAGCTGGGCGGTAGCGAGATTAGAGCTTCTCAATTCTGACATCTATGTGAGGGGTTGATCAGACCATCATTCTTCCAGGATCAATAGCATTGATACGGTTTTGTGGGAAGTGAACAATTGCCCTTTGCAGAAACTGCCTTCCCCCCTCCACCCCCCACCATGTTAATGTGGAATTTCCACCACTAGTCCAGGGCTGCCAATGGCGATGAGCACCACCCAAACTCGTCTTTGATGCTGACTTGACTTTGACCTTCACATAACCTGTCTTGGTATTACTATGCTGCCCACGCTGGGACACTTTCCCGACATCCTGAATCAATCGATTTGAAGATATGGGTACGTTACACTTGCAGACTGGCATACGGATGTCGAATTTTCACCACCGGCTCATGAGTTGCGAGTGGGTACGAGTACTGCCCCATATCCTATTTGACTTTTAACTGCATCTGACTTGCCCTGGTACTGCTTTACTCCCCACACCGTAACAACCGATTAAAGGAGTTGGGTAAGCTACACTGGCAGTTCTATGCCAGAAGAATACCAGCCCTAACTCGTTTGAGTATCGATACATTTTGAATTATTTAACACGGGAGATATTTTGCTGATTGAAAGAGCTCGGAGTGGTGTGTTGAAGAGCCCAGGCAATATTGCATGGGTTCTTAAACACACCACTTTCCGTTCATTGAAAATGCAACATGGCACGGCGTCTTCAATTCATCTGTATGCCCTCATTGATAACTGCGCATCTCGGCAGCAATGGAATCGCGTAAAACAATCGGCGTCTCTCTGCTCAAATAGTCATTTCGTGGTATTCGTTTCCATGGACTGTTCTGCGACGGTGGTGGAAACTCCCCATTTCTATGCCAGTGGCCAGTTCTTCCACAGGACAACCAATTTAGTTACATAGGGGCAGTTGGTAGTCTACGTAGATAAGCTTCAACCGTTGACATTTGGTGATTTGCCCTCAGCATAAATCGGCTTCTGTTAATGTAATTAATGACGCCCTGTAGACATTTACAAGTGGTTCAATGGTTACTCGAACGCGTCAATCCGAATACATCAATCCAAAGCAAAACATGTTTTTTTTTTTATAACATCCACCTCTCCGGAAGGGTTTCCTATCCACTATCATTTTAATGACCTATTAAAGAGACCCTTAAGATTGGTGCATGCCATTTGTACATGCACATTGCAGCCCACGCGTACCTCTACAGGGCAGCATTGCAATTACTGCATATCAGTGACACCGTGTGTCTTCTTGTTACGAGTGTGTGAATTGGAAATGCTTCTGAATTTAAATGCATCCGCAAATGCAGAATTGTCTGTGCATTGCTTGCTTGCCTTCAGTGTTCGCGCCGTACTGAAAACTACAATATGAGCTTTGCAGTGCATGGAGAAATATTAATATATACCGTATCTATACACAATGCATTACACTTGTATCACATCATCGATTAGTGATCAGCTGATGGCATTGACTTGGAAGGATACGCCGTGATGTATTTATGTCTCCTGTGCAATTTACCATCTATTTTCAACATACCGACGTCTATATTAAGATTCCATTTGGCTAATTGGTAAAGCCACGCATTAATGTTGGTCATCATCAGCAGCCAAGATCAATCCACTGCTGGATGGAAGAGAACCACAAAGCCATCGGTATCTCTCACGATCGAACAATGCAATAATTTGCCTAGCACCTGCACACGAGCTGAGATGGCTGCTTTTAAACAATGTATACTGTAGTGAAAAAATAATATAACCTAAAATACTAAGGGTATTCATAAGTGACACAACAACGTGATGCGTTTGTCCTCATTGTTGAAATCACGAAGGGTAACACGAATATAATCTATGCTCAAGTAAGCGAGAGCCATCCTACTGAAGCGTATAGTTACACACGTGTTGCGCACACGTTGGCTGGCAGCAGGGCACGATGTTGTACTCTGGCATCACTGTTTAAGCGAGCTGCCGCTGGTAGTCGGCAGTGTTTGCGAGCACCCATTAAGGTGGCCCAAAGGCCGGCACGTAGCAAACGCCACGGTCATGTCCCTTCGCCGCCGTGGGTCTACCCACGGGCCTGAGAGAAGGCAATTGCGCCAGTGGTGGAGGCGGGCGAGTGCCTCAGTGGGATTGGGACTCTCTGGAGGAGGGGGCCGGGCTTTGTATTGTGGTCGCGTGCGCTGCGAGCGCTCTGCCACTTCGTTAAAATTGCACACACGATGCATGTACCGCACGTGCGTCGTGCAACAGCGAGGCAGTTGTCCGTGTTCGTAGTGCAACAAGGACCATTGGCCCCGAAACGTTGCCTATTGCACATGTTTGTTTTCCTCTTAAGGCCGCGGTGCTATTGAAGAATGTGTTTGAGGGTTTTCTGTCGTTGGTATCAATCGTGCGTGTGCACCACGGCCGATGCAGCGTGGCCAGTGAACGATGTGTTTAGTGTGTACATGTTACGGACATTCGTAAATGGTGCGGCCATGTCGAGGCATAGCAACGCAATGCTCTCCGTGCAGCCCAAATGGCAATGCACATGCGTGGTGTATGAAGTAAAAACCATAAATGACATCATGTACACACATTTATAATGAGCTACTAGACGGCAAATCAACAAACAAATCATGACGTCCGTCAATAGCAGTGTCTAAGCGTGGAAACATGTAACACATTGACGAGATGAACGGATACACGGCATTCACTCAAATATGTGCGCCCAGACATTCGATGTCAATATATGGAATGCTATGTAGGCAGGTTGAGACACAACGATGCATCATCATACAGCACGTGCACGTGTCGTTACTTCTCTACACGGCTCTATGCGCAACATATGTACAGCACAGATGCACTTTCATTGGATTTACTTACGCGCCCTGACCCTTGTATAGAAGAGGAATCGCAAACCTGACATGAAATCTAAAGGCATTCCATCAGAAGCAGGGATTATCTCTGTAGATAATCACATGCCCTTTGAAATTAGATGCACGTGCATTCATTCATATGCGTCTCCGTGCGTCTGCCGCAACACTGAACAATGCAGGCAGCCGCTGGCCGACACAATCTGCAAACGCCACGCACAATGCACGGGCATTCGTGTCCCCGTCATAGTAATGTGGAATTAAAAAAATAATCAGGTGCAAGGGCACGATGTTCAACGTGGAGACGGGCTCATTTGATCTCCTTGACCCGTTTTAAAATTACACGATGCCAGGATGAGATACGGCGCACAGCGTGTGCGTGTGACCTGTTGACGATTTTTTCCCCAGACGAGTCACGTGTACGCGCTACATGCAATGCACCTGTACGAGTTGATATTCTACGACGAGCGTAGCGCAAGGCGGGTTGTACAGATATTGCAGCGCCTAACGGCGGATGCAGACATCCCCCACACATTATTATTATCATCGCCACGGTGATTTCCGCCACGAGAATGTGGCATTTACAGCACTAATAAAAAAAAATAAAAAAACAAGATTCCAACGCAGAAATGCAAAAGGAAATCCCATAGACGGTTGTGGCAAGTGCTAGTTGCGAGAACGTATTAAGAGTGATACAACGAACTAGAGGGTTACGAAGTGTAGGCAGTCCCACTCCCGGTCGCCTTTGTCTCTCTAGTGCTGATGTTCACACGCCACAATGGGAACTTTTTAAAGGCTGAGTCGACCTAGGGGAGACCCGGAATCATGTCAGACACCACTTGCTATTGATGGCAGCCCGTGAAAAGGAATCGTCCTTGGGTTACCACTAAAGATAAAGACAGATATCCCCCATATAGCCTTCAACAGGCTGTTAGGACAAGTGCTGTTTGCGAGCACCTATGAAGGCCGGCACGGCACACGAGAGAGTGGTTTGCCAACACCGCGCCCGACCGCCTTTGTCTCCCTAGTGGAGATGTTTACACACAACACCAGGTACTCATTTGAGGCTGAGTTGACTTAGGGGGAGGCCCAGGACCGGTTCAGTTAATCATCACCGGCGTTGGTGGCCGTGATCAGGGAATCGAACTCATATTCCCCGGGTTCGTAGCGCAGCGCGCTGACCGCTCACACCCCCCCATCCCATCCCCGCAACTCACGCTCAGACACCGAACACAAATGCAAGCACACACATCACCGTGAGCTCTCCACCCCCCTCCACACCCCCGCGCGTCTTACCCTGGCCGCTCTGGAAGAATACGGATCCTCAAAGAGCGCCCACATCCTGGGCTGCCACCGTCGCATGAAGCTGAGCTTCCCTCCGTCGGGACTGCGCTCGTCGAGCCCGAACCTCTTTGAGACGTCGCCGTCTTCGTTGCCCTCGTCGTTGCCGTTGATGTCCGGGTTCTCGAAGCTCACCAGAGCCTCCTCGGCGTCGCGGTGCTGCCGGTAGTTCATCCAGCAGCACGGCTCCACGTCCGTCTCGTCGATGCCCCAGAAGATGAGCTCCTCCTCGAACAGGGGGCCGCACACCTCGGACGGGCAGTGCAGCTTGCCCGTGCGGTAGTAGTTGAGGATGTGCGCGAACACCGTGGGGTGGCGGTCGAAGAAGAACTCGTTGGCCTTCGCGTCGTAGTCGAAGTTGGCGAACGCGTCCGGCTCCGTGAGCCACGAGAGGCGCGTTCCGGGCAGCGTGCGCAGCGTGCTGCGGTACGTCTCGTGGCGAGTGCCTCCCACGTTAATGACCACGCGCTCGTTCTCGTCGCTCCTGCCCAGGTCGCCATCCAGGCACGATTTGCAGGGAGACTTGTTCCCCGACTTGTGGCCGCAGTATGGAGAGATGCAAACCGAGGTGAACATTCGTGCTGGCCGATACGACCGTGGCCCAAGGAACCCCACCGGGGGCCAGGTGGCATGCACAGCATGCACGCGAGGGTGGTCCGTGCGACTTCGGCCGTGATGTCTGTGTCTGTCTTGTGTGTGTGTGTGTGCTGGTTTCGCTGGGTGGGTGGGTGTGTGGCGCTCTTGTACCCTTACACCCCCCCCCCCCCCGCAATGAATCGGCCGAGCTCTCCTCTATCAATATTCTCTATATATCTCAACGTTTCCGCCCGCCCGCCCCCTCCCTCTCCGGATCGCTTTGCTCTCCCCACCAGAGGAAGCTGTCACATGTCTAGAGATGGAGAAATGTGGATGTGACTCAAGGCGAGGTCAGATTAATTCTTCCCAAGTGAGATTATGATTATTATTATTACGACCTGGTTATCAAGCTATTGTTCATTCAACTTCATTTAAACGTTCCTCTTTTGTATTATTTCCGCTGCAGTTATTTCATCGTAATTTTTTTTACCGAAGCGTCCTTTGTAAAATATAATTCAAAACGTTATGAATTTCACTTCTTATACTTCACTGAATAATCCGAGATTGCTTAAACGCAATACGCCTACTATCAACAAGCTATTTATAACCAGGAACGAGCAAAGTAATTATATATATTAGAATATAGCAGAGTTAACGTACATTATGAAACATAATCGCAACACGTGTCTCCTTGCCCACCACCAGCGCCGGCCATCCAGTGTCCGCCGCGTCGTCTCGCTCCTGTCGGCTCCTCGACACGCGCGTCGCGCATTGGTGCACCCTCACGCGCGGGGGAGGAAGAGCACGCGACGGCGGGGGAGGATCTCAGGAATCGAGGAGAAGGAATTAGGTTGAGGGAGGGGTGGGGGGGATGGAGATGGAGCACATTCAAATATCCTAAACACGAGGAGGGTGTGTTTGGGAGGGGTGGCAGACGGAGTACAGGCGGTCAGCCCGGGTCAGAGACGGAGCGACTCGGTGAATCAGCAGCAGCAGCAGATGCTCCGGGTAGACGCGGTCCCGACAGCAGCGACTGCAAAGCGCAATGAGCCACCGCCTCCGTGAATCACTGGGGCAATGTGCCGAGGGAGGGTGGGGAGCCTAGATGGAGGGTGGGGGGGGTGCAGATGGAAGCAGGCAAGGAGGAGGGGGTTGGGCGCATGGGAGCGAGTGAACGCAGCGAGCGAGCGAGCGAGACAGAGGAGCGCCTGCTAATGGCAGTATTTATAATAGCGGCTGCCGCGGAAATGTTCCAGTCTGCACGTGTCGCACGCGCATCGTCTAACGGACGATTGGGCGCAGCCGAGGAGAGGGGAGGGTAGGTGAGAGGGAGATGGGAGAGTGGAGAAGGTAGATGGATTGAAGGTGGAAGAGAGAGAGAGACAGTGGAGATGAGCGATATCGGTATAGCGATAAGAGCGTGGAGGTTGCGAGCGGGGATGAGAGTGGGGATAGCGGAGATGGGAGGGTGAGAGTTAAAGTTGGAGACGGGAGAGAGTAAAATAGGAGATAGTGGAGGTGAGAGAAAGAATAGAGATGAGAAAGAGGGAGATGATAAAGAGAAAGATGGGAGATATGAGATAGAGTGGAGGTGGTGGTTAGGGAGAGAGAGGGGTGGGAGAAATAGGAGAGATGGAATTAGAGAGAGCGAGAGAGTGAGCGAGAGAGTGAGCGAGAGGTGGGGGTTTACATAAAGCAAAGTAAAAAAAAATGACGAAATGATGAACGAAGCAAAGTGCCGACTACACAGAGCATCTTCTTGTTTCCACTGATCGTAAAAAAAGAGAGCGAAAGAGGACAGTAAAGTTGGGAGAAATGTGAGATGTATATCGGAGAGAGGGGGAGGTGGAAGAGGGCGATGGGATAGACAATGTGAGAGGTGGGTCGGCTTTTGTTGACAGCGTGTCACCTGCTGCACGTGGAAGTTCACAGGAAGACAACGGTGAATGGCCGTGCAAGATTTGTATCCTTCATACATTTCGTCAGTCACTTGAAAAAAGTTTCCTCGTATACAATTGAGTATGATCTCATTTTCACCCGGCACGAACCACGCAGCCATATTATTTACCATTATCTAGATGCGACCTCTGACCTTAGTAAAAAAAAAATCGTGACTTGACCCAAACTAAATATTTTAATTAACGCCACCACGAGAGGGCGGCAGTGGCCGGCTGGTTGTAAGCCCAGCCTGAGGTCACATGGGGTCAACGGTCCCCAACCTTTTTGGCACCAGGGTCCGGTTTCGTGGAAGACATTTTTTTTCACAGACCGGGGGGTGCGGGGGGGTTCATCATTGGGCCTTTCCCCCTTTTTCAAAGAAGCTCTCCAGCGAAGTTTGTTTTTTACTCATGTTGGCTACTAGGGGTTAGAGCTTGTGGGCTCACCAAAACTGTGACAAGTGCGCAGTGCGGGAAAGAGGCGCGGACGGAAGTGGTCAATAATAAAATAATGGGGCGGGCCACGCGCGGACTCACCGCTCTCACCTCGTGCTGCTGTGCGGCCCGGTTCCTAACAGGCCACGGACCGGTATAGCGGTCCGCGGCCCGGGGGCTGGGGACCCCTGATAATGGCAACACGGTACACCAGGGGTCGGCAGCCGGCACCTCCGACGCCACTTGCGGCTCTTCATGGACTGCCTACTCACGTTACTCATGAAGGACCACCGTCTCGTCTTCATATGCATCGCGACTCTTGAAATGTTGAGTTTCTCAATTTAATTCGAACAGAAATTGTCTCTTCTTGTCTTTTCTTGTCTTTTTTTAGGCTGTGGTTTTCGCTACTTACTTGTCCTGACATTTACGAATGTCTTAACGTTCAGCCATTTAACACATGAATTGGTGATGCTGCTGCGTTGGCAATGCGGCACCGGCACGAATAACAGAAAACACACTCAACACATTCACCAATATCACTGTGGCTCCGATAAGAATACTATTTTTGTGAACGTCTACTCAACCTCATCAGAATCATCATCTTCATCAGTCCCACCTCTCTTGGTGGGATGTCACCAGTCATATCACATGGATGGGCTGGTCACCGCCAGGGAAATGTGGAATTTCTATCACTGTTTCGGACGCGAACAGGCAGGAGGGTGGGAATGAGCACCGCTTAAGACACATTTTTGATTGGGCACGAGACCTGACTGTATGCCTACAATCTGCACACACAAAGACAAATATCCCCTGTATAGTCTGAACAGACTGTTGGGACAAGCGCTGTTACTATCACGGCCGGCACAGTACATACACGACGGGTGGGTGGCCAGCACCACACCCGACCGCCTTTGTCTCCCCAGTGGGGCTGTTTACACACAGCACCACGTACTCATTTGAGGCCGAGTCGACCTAGAGGAGGCCCAGGACCGATTCAGATAATCGTCATTGGTGCTGGCTGTGAGCGTGAATCGAACTCGGGTCGCTGGATTGGTAACGCAGAGCGCCAAACGCTACACAACCTCTCCCCCCATACATCTGCACAAAGACAAAGATCCCCCGTATAGCCCTAACAGACTGTAGGGGCAAGTGCTGTTAGCGAGCACCTATGAAGGCCGAAGCGGCACCACGAGGGGGTTGGTGGCCAGCACCACGCCCGACCGCCTTTGTCTCCCAGTGGCGATGTTTACACACCGCACCAGGTACTCAGTTGAGGCTAAGTCGACGTAGGGGAGGCCCGGGACTGGTTCAGATAATCGTCACTGGTGTTGGCCGTGAGCGGGAATCGAACTCGGGTCACCGGGTTTATAGTCCAGCGCGCTAACCGTTATACTACCGCTCCCCACACACACAGACACAGACACACACACAAACACACACAGACACAGATACACAGATCAGGGGCGGTTTCTTCATTAGGGCGATTGGGCGACGCACCACCAATCTCAGCCGTTACTGTGCCTCTGGATATAGTCCAATCAGCGTCATGTCACGTTCTGTGGAGTATCGCCTCTTTTTGGGCGATTTCACTCTGGCTGAGAATCGCCCCGTGTAGTCCCATAGACTTACATTTAAAGATGTTTTTTTTCGAACGGCGGGCGCTGCAATGCATTCTCTATGGCTTCCGGGAGGGCTCGCACTAACGTGCTTACGTCATCATACGTAAGCACGTTTCAGTCAACAATATTATTTGTCGCCACCTAGTGGAATCTTTAATAAAAGAAACTAAGTGGATTGTAATAATAGTGAGATAGAAACAAACAAGATGTATTGTAAGAGTCACTTTATTTTTCATTAATATTAAAGAAGTAAAGTTGCCTTTACATGCTTAAGCTGTTAATTTATCCATTGCATGGGTGGACCTTATCCTTATCAATCATCCAGACATTTGCCCCCCCTGAGAGATTTTGCAGGAGCCGCCACTGACACAGATACACACACACAGGCACAGCCACACACACACAGACACACACACACAGATACACACACAGACACACACAGACACACACAGACACAGACACACACACACAGACACACAGACACACACAGACACACACAGACACACACACAGACACACACACAGACACACAGACACACAGACACACAGACACACACAACACAGACACACACAAACACACACACACACAAACACACACACACAAACACACACACAGACAGACACACAGACACACACACAGACACACACAAACACACACACAGACACTCACACAGACACACACAACGCGATGGGCACTCAAGGTGAACGCGCTCAAGAGCCCGTGCAAGGTGACCGCGTGGCACTCCGTCTGTGGCGCCACGTGGCCCCCTTGAGAATGTTGAACGATTCTTCAGATCGGGGGTGGGGGGGTGGGGAGATATATAAACCTATAGATTCCTCCGGGGTCGATAAACGTGGTACCAAAGTGTGGGAACTCTGTGTTTTTCTTCTTCATGAGAGAGACTGTCCCAAGACACAAGAATGTGGAATAATTTCCCTCCACTGGTTCGCGATCGCCATTGGAAATGGGCACCATCCCGCGCGTAAGCAACGTGCTTCAAAAACATGTTAACACTTACACGGGACTATTGTTTTTAACGGAAAAAAGAACGGACAATACACTGTAACATGATAACAAATGTATGTTAAGAGCTTCACAAAGTCAAAGAGTCTCCATTTGTTCGCCATCGTTGTCAACGCGTGCCTGGAATCTTTTCCAGGTGGTCTCCAGAGCCCAGTATCGGAAGTGTTCACATTTTTTCGAAGCACCTTGCATAACTCCACTGTGCGATTATGCAGTGCCACGTTTGGGTTGACGAAAAGCAACAGTCAACATGTTCATATCAACTACAGCATCAAAAGGCGAAACCTGTCGTGACATAAGCCTACCCGGTGAAGCTTATGAACGTTAAGAATTCTTAGCTTAGCATGTTTAAATTTACAGCACGACTTTTAGATCGATCACCATCTGTTATGTTTCACATTGGTATTCATGTATCAGGGTGTATATCGTCTTGTATGGAAAATGCATGTATGGTACAAAGTTATTGCTTTGTGCACTCAAACTCAACAAAATCTAATTCAGTAACAGGTTAATTAAATTCATAATACGTTTTTGTTATTACTGAAGGAAATATATCGACAATTCGGTCGATTGGCCTTCTCCAAAAATATTAAATATTCCTTGGAAAATGTGATTAGCCTCTCAGTAACGGTAAACAAACGCAATGCCTTTTAATTAACTTTTTAATATCAATAATATGCTGTATTGCACATACTGATGTATGATGTACAGTCTTGCCATCATCATAATCAACCGTGATATATCCATTTCTGGATAAAGGCTCCCCAATGTCCCCACCGAATTGATCTCGCAGTGCGCTAACCGCTGCGCCACTACTCCTCCCAGTGCGAGCGTTGACGCCGACTCGGGGTTGCGCTTTTCACGCCGCCTGCCACGAGACTCAATCCCCCCACCCAATTTGACTCTTCGCCTTCTTAAATGATGATACAGTATGTAAGCTTGGCGGTACATGTGAGATTTTACTTAACAATAGAACTCCATTCCTCCGAACATCCATGCCATGCTAACTCCTCGCCCTTCCGCAAGTCGAGGTTCCTCGGA